GCTGCATTATGCTTAGCTCCCCTAGACAGCCCACCGCTCATATCCCCTACACCCTATCAGCATTTCCAACACATTTATACTTACCTTCATAGACTCATTCCGAGAAGCCTAAAACTGTACCAGGTTTAAACCCACAGTTCTACGACACCAGACCCAAAACCCTCAAAAACCCCACCATCTTTGGGTCTGTATATGTCACGTATAGTAACTCACTAAACTCAATCTCCTATGTACTGAACTAACCACAACTTGCCTCAAGTTTCCCATTCCAGAACAGGCAAAATTCTTTCTTTCACGCACCAGACACATCAGTTCACAAAACCTATGGCATTCACCTTATTAAATTCCAGTCTCAAATCCTTGCCCGGCGCTGGCAGTCCTGGTCTCCCTTTTCCTTTACTGGATTCAGATCACCGATCTCAAGTACGTAACCTCATTCTTAAATTTTGTCTTCTTTACATAGCAACAACATCACAATATCAGCTCCCTCCGCCCGGTCCCATTTCATTAACTGAACCTTTACTTTGGAGAATGAAGTGAGTCACCAATTAAATTTTAGATGTGCCGAAGCAGTTAGTGGAGAACGGAAAAGGGAAAAGGGTTGGCCGGGAACAGAACAGGTGAATAGCAATTCCCGGTTGACACGGTGGGACGAAAGCTGAATAGCGAAGGATTTGGAAAACAGAAGATTGGTTAATTTGTGGATGTTGCAAGGCAATGGATGTGGAAACCAGAAGAGGAACAAGAGTATACTAAGGTGGAAAGATGTGCAATGAGGCGGTGGAGGTGAACCGGAAGAGTAATTGTTGGAGATGAGGTTGTGGGCTTGTTTAAACAAAGGGTGTAAGACAGGACATAGATGACTTTGTTTGGGAATGGGAGAGAAGTGCTGAGAGGAGTTTTGATCGGATTTGGGATTTGGACTCAGGTTAGGTGAGAAGTTGTTGGCAAAAAAATGTGATAGAGCAGAAATGAGATGGTGACCTACTTAAACCAGCATCAGGTACAAAATCCAGAGGAGACACAGGGTAGTTGGACAGAATATAAAAGGAGGTGTTGAGGAAGGCTGAGGTGAACGGCAGGGTGATGACATCAGGATGCGCTATGTGTGGGGTATTGAACAACTACCTTTTGTCCCTGCACATGGCATGTTACTGAGGATTTTGAATGTTCAGACGGATGACTTGATAACAAAAACAGAGAAATAGGCAGAAATGCTGCTCGTGAGACCTGGGGGTTGACGAAATTATCTGTGTTTCCACCCAGTCCCCCTGGACTGATGGACATACATTCTTTGATGGCTGGCAGGAATTCCTTCTGGCCATGGAGGGAAAACCCCACAAAGTCCTGGATGGGATGGGTTTTGGAGGTCTGACTCCAAAAAAAAAGGCTTGGGTCCAACTGCCAAACCTCCCCCTAGCTTTTGAGGGATGACTCCCACAACCCAGGAAGGATGTCTGTCTGGGGGTTGTTGGCTAGGCTTGGGGGATTTTGGAACTCCAAAACCTGGCAGTTTTTCAACCAAGGCTCTGGGCAGTATAACACCTATATTTATGTGGCTACCAAAACATTAGGCCTGTTATATCATATAATTCAAATTTATTGGCTGAAGTTGAATGGGATGAGGGGTTTGTGTTTTTTCTGGTTTGGTGCAGATGAGGATTTAATTAGGAGGAAAAGAAGCAATGGTGAGGCTGGGATCAAAGCTTGATGGACTTGCAAGAAGTTTGGATGGGAGATCACAGTGATGTCACCCCATTGGCAGCACCATGCACTGTGGATCCAATTTGGGAGTTCAGCTCCAAGCCGATGGTTGGTCTCTTTTTTGAATGGAGTTGGATACATCTGGGATGTTCTTTTCCCCCTATGGGAGGGGGGACACCGTCCCGCAGGGACCCTCCGCAGGAGGCCTCCGGCAAGCCATCAGATGAAACTGCCGGAGGGACTTAGTTAAGTTGGACCTGTCAACACTGTAGGTGTAGTCCTGCTTCAAAAATATCGGTGGCTTTGTCGCAGTCAGGGCAGCATCAAGCTTGTCCAATTTATCTGGTCGGATTACACCGGGTTAGATTCATCATCAACACTGCACTCTCTCATTAAAATAGACTATGCATACACACGCGTCGGCTACATTGTTAGGTTGTTAGAGGCAAGCGTCCAGGCCTCTCAGCCTTCAGGTGTGTCCTGACTGACCCGGGCCTAGTTGCGGGGTAGGCTTTGTTGGATCAAATCTGCATCACGGATGCCAGACCGGCCGGATTCTCCATAACCAAGCATATTTATTACTGCCAATTCCGAAAGATACGTCTTTTACACAGGTGATGATTGAGCCTGGTTAGCCCCTGTTGGCCCGGCGGGGTGTGATAGGGTGTGATGCTTTTTGCTGTGGCCTTTATGCAGAAACATAAATATATCTCTTTAGAAGTTTAGATTCATAGAAGCCTTTCAAGGCCATAGCCCAAGGGTCAGATCCTGTGAGATCGCAAATGTCGACAAACGGCCCATCTACCGGTCAATCTCAGCTTTTAGGTCGGCCTGTATCCCTGCGCTGTTGATCTGATGTGTGAGACGAATTACGCGATTGCGTCGGAGACAAAACGATATGCGTCCTAAGGCCCTGGAAGGCTCCTTCTTATCAAACATCCCACATACTTACATATTTGTGCTTGTCTCTCGGCATTCTCAGCACCGGAGCTCAAGGATATTTATAAAGTTGAGGTGATACATATTGTGCATGGACGGGTATCTGTGTTACGGCAAGCCAAACCTTAAGCAAACGCTTGATGTATCCTTAAAATCTGCAAGGGGACTCGCACGGCACTATAAATGACAGTGGGGCGGGAAGAGCGACGTTGCCATGGCCTTTTGAGTCTTTATTCTTGAAGCTCAGCAGAAGGCCTGCGGAAGAGAGCCAAGGTGCCAATTTAGATTGATGGAGGATATAACAGATATTTAAATTAATGTAAACACGCACACACGCCGATATCGCTCATAGGTTCATCACCACGGTAAACTTGGAAAGGCTCTGGCCCCCCAACGATGATGTGATGATGTCCCTACCACTTCATATCTCTCTCGAGTTTTAAGGTCTTTAAATTCAAGAACTATATGTGTGCAGATAAAGCCTGCAGATCGTTTGGTAAAAAAATCGACTGCCTCTTCTCCTGTATCTTGGACTTTGCTTGTCTACTTGTATATTCCATGACCTGTGTACCTCAGTGCACCTCTAGGTATTTGTCCAAATGTATACTCGGACTCCATGAACCATCTCTATCAATTTTTTGCTCTCGATTTTAACGTGTTCACTTGAATTTTCACATCGCGAACTGGTCTCCAAATATCAGCTGCGCGTTGGAAGACAAATAGCCGAGCGTACAACTGCAGTCGAACTTGAAGTACCATTGTGAGCTTCTAATCTTCCTGCCGAGGTGCGAATTTGCTTCTCAAGGGAAAAGACGCATCTGAAGTCGAACATTCACCAATTAGCCGCTGGCTCATAGTCTGCTGCCCTCTATCTTACAAGTCGTTTGGAAAAATCACAGGCCCGCAGACGCCAAAAGTTGCCTGTCGAACAATTCAAGTATGACTTCGTCCACCTCGTCGCACTCATCTGGCCACCAAGAATCCCCGTCACGATCTGTAATTCAATCTTTGACACAAAGGTCCAAGGATGAAGGCTTGACTTCTTCTCATGATTCCAATTCAGCATCGTTATTTCCTTCATTTATCCTACCCTCCCGTCCCAAATTACCGGAACCTCAGACCCCGTCAACGTCCCACTCGAATCTTGCTCAACTGATACTCAAGCAGAAGGAAACGCGTGACTACAAAAAAGCTTCGCATCCCAAGGCATTTTTCATCAAGCCAAGTTCAGGACCATCAGAAAAACCACTGATTACCGCAACAAGCTCTCAGATAGTTCGGTCTCCTGCTGATTTCGAGTTCCCACCTTTATCTCTCGACCAGAACGCGCATTTACCTTGCGCCTCACATGTTACTCCTGTGGGAATTCTCAAGTCACACCAATATAACAGTACGAACGATCCTCAATCACTTTCTGCTCCAGCGCCGAAAGCTATACACAGTTCGAACAATGCTCCAATTTTCAATGCCTCTCGAAATAACATCTGCTCAGATACCGACACACAAGCCCAATTGGCTTGGCTTGGTTATCACCAAGAGCTCCGTAGAGATTGGGATTTTTGGTCATCTCTATCCCTTTCTACATTGAACATTGGCACGATACCCGGCGCTTTCTTAGGACTACTCACTGCGATGGAGTGGGGTGGACCTTGTGTAATCTTCTGGGGATACATTATAGGAATGATTATTGTTTTGTGTCTGAGTGCTGTTGTCGCTGAGATAGCTTCGGCCTATCCAGTAGCAGGGGCTATGTTGACTTGGTGAGCCCCCTTTGTCTTTCAGACTCGAGATTGAGCGTGAACCTTGGTTTTTGGAGGTGTCAGATTTGGATGGTAGACCAACTGATGAATTTGTCTTATCTAATTATTCGAGCAGGACGTTTAAACTGGCACGAGCAAATCCCAAGTTGAGGGACTGGGCTCGGTTCATTAGCTGGTTGGTTGGGACTTTGCTCTTTGTGGCCCACGTGGTGGTTCAAGTTGCTCTAACTTCTCAATGTAGTTGAGTATTTTCTCTGCAGTGTACTCCTTGTGATGACAGTTTGAACATTGACCTAGTTGGCTTGCACCACCTGGGAAATACTCTGCCCTTGGCTTTTCAGCTTTGATGGTAGTGAGCGTTATCAACCGTTTTTATCCTACATGGATAATCAACTCCGGCTGGCAGACATTTCTTCTGAACGCGGGTCATCTAATTCTGTGCGGTCTGCTACTCTGCACGGCTCCAATCCGCTCGCCGCGTCTCTGGAAAATTCTTGGTGCACTTTCAATAGTACTCTATTTAATCATATGCATCGGCTTGGTTATAGGACCAAGGCTTGCAGGTCACCATCATCACGGACCCAAACACCTAGCCAAGATGCTCGTAACATTTCATAACGACACCACATTCAAATCAAAGGGAGCTGCAGTAGATGCCTTCGTTTTCCTCATGGGCACGTCTCTCGTGTCTCTAGCGTTTGGCGCCGAAGCCTCTGCCCACCTCGCTGAAGAAACACGAACCCCCGCTGCTACTGTTCCTAAGGCATTGTTTTCAAGCACCCTAGTCAGCTATATTTTGGGATTAATCCTGAATATTTGCCTAGTTGCGGTCAGTCTATCCTTCACAATTTAATCTTCCCTATTCGACGTCTTCAGATGCTTATCATTTCTGAAAACCCATTTCCAGGCGCTTCTTCCCCTAACTCCGAAAGAAGCTCAACATAAACTACATTTGATCGACATGCTTTTCACACATTGTACTCCGCCCATTGCCACAATGATCTTGGTTTCTTTGTTGTTACTCATGTTTTTCCAAGACATTGCTCAACTCTTTGCCGCCAGTCGGTTTACCTGGGCTCTGGCCCGCGATAATGCTTTTCCGGGATCGAAAATCTGGCGCAAGGTTTCGGGGAGTTGGAGTTCTATCCTAAGAAACACCACTGACGATGATGGAAGCGCCCGTCGCATCCCAAGGATGGCGATCGTGTTATTGGTTGGGTGTGGATTGGCCACAGCGGCAGCCATCGAGTTCAGAGAAGGCATTTTTTCCGACTCCTTGATCACCTCTGCCACCTACCTATTAGTTGTAAGCCTTTTATAATTCAACAAGATGTTCAACTAATCCTGACAAGTTTCTTAAACACATATACTCTTTCAACCCTCACCCCGTTTGATTGGTCGCAAGTTTTGTTATCTGGCCCCTCTATTAATTTATCTGACGTGCGATCCGGATGTACTCGAATACGATGGTAGAAATGTGTGGCGAATTCCGAGTCTCAGTCGGCCTTGCACTTGGGTTTCTCTTTTATCTCTGATCGTCGTTTTGTTACTCATGGCATGTCCTCACGGTCTTCCGATTACAATTGGTGAGCTCGCACTATGAACATCTCACTAAAATTTTCCAAGTGCGTTTGAAAATTTGTATGAATTGAACTGACGATGCCACTCATTGAAAATAGAGAGTTGGTCATGGTCTCCGCTTATCACTCTAGTTTTTACGATTGCTTCGAGCATTGGTTGGATCACGTATGGAAGTAGCCGATACATAGGCCCTATAAAATCCATCACGTTTTGGACAACTGGACAAGAAGTTGACTTCCCTAGACCGCAATTCGGAATTGGAGGTTTGCCCAATTTTGACAAGAGTGCTGTTGGAGAAGAAGCCAGTCCAAGAAATCCGGGAATTTTCCACAACAACAACATCGCTCAACCAGTCGTCGAGCGTGGCAACAGTGAAGAAAGCCTATCTTCCGAAGATCGATCCCATTGGCCTATCACAATCACTAGGACTACAGTGACAGAGGTCTGCAGTGCTTCGACGATGATTTGCCCAGCAATCAACCGATGATATGATTATTTCTTCAGCTCGATTCTTGGATCTTAGCTCCACTATACCCTACAAAATACCTCCTTCTGTTTCTTGTTGTAAAAAAAGAGGTCTTTGAGATCCGTAAAGCGTATTGCAATTTGCTTCTGTTTATTTTCTCTCCATCGCGGATTTTCTTCAATCTATGACTGCATTATGTGGACTATTTTTCTATTAATCATGATTCTATACATTTGTTGAATCTTTGTGCAGCTTGAAATCCGATAAAAATTAAGGAATTTAAAAAAAATACGCATTGTCCTGATGAAATCACATCTCCCAAGCTAGGGAAAGTGTTAGATTTGAGACATACCCGATGACTTCTCATTGTCATCGACAGGCTTGCAATTATCACTCTGAATTTTGAGTGTATACCCAATTAATGCCAATCACAACTAACACACATGGACTTAGAATGATCAATTTTTCTTCCTTCAACCATGAAACTACAGGAGTTTAGGAATTTCTTGTGTTCAAACATTTGAAATACTGCAGGTTTATAGTCCATCAATAATGCATTTATGTCCCTAGATGGATGTGTCGTGGTCCAGAACTAATGGATGACTTCCCGTCAACATCTGCGGGGCTCCCAGTTTTGATTTAGAGCCGAAAAAGCTAGATTTCCCTGCAAAAATCTAGACTTTTTGGGTCTAAATCGGAAACTGCGAGGCTCCCAGATCCAACGGGAAGTCCTCCAATGATCTTGTATTGCTCCTACATGTCCTCCTCTTGTATACACACCGCTTCAAATGCGGAGCTTGCACACCCATGCAACAGGATGCAATTATCCATGATCAGTGCTCTCCTGCCTGGAAGCTTCTTGGAAGATGTGTTTTTTCTTTTTCTTTTTTAATACTTTATTTGAATGTGGTTTTGGTTTTAATGTCTTGTGAAACTGGCAAATCTTCTCAACAACAAACTCCTGTGATATGGCATTGAAATCAACATGCATATTGCTCTGACTTGGAACACAAGAAAGGAGAAGAGGCAAAAACTAAAAACTGAATTGGGAAATACACATATGCAGGTTGGGCTAGATCCTATTTGAGTGCCTCCCAAAAAAAAAACTGGATGGGATTTGAGTGCCTTTCAAAAAATTGATGAGAAGCTCACAGGTTGGATTTAAAACATTCAGGCCCCATTTGTTAGCAAAATGTAGTGCCTCCCAAAAAAACTGGAAAGGTGTTGGTTGATGAGACACTAACAGGTTGGTTTTAAAGAATTCAGGTCTTGTTTGTTAGCACAATGCAGCAGTTTACATAGTGTGTTCAATTCCTGCAAAATTTGACGGAATATGAGTGGATTCCACACATCTTACATTTGCATGTGCCACTGACAGACATGGCCTCAATATTTTGAAATGAGTGATTTGGCGAGCATGCTGCAGCACAAAATTTGGGTTTACCCAATCGGACATTTCTCTGGTGGCTTCCCAGATTCATGTAGGAAAATTAGAACAGGAAAATCAAAACTTTAAAATACCTGCCATGTAGGATTGAAAACAACCACTGAGTGCAAAAAAATATTTCTTAATCATGGCACTGACTGGGATTTGTCAAGTTGAGCTCAATTAATGACAATGCTAATCATGACAGGAAAATCCCAAATCTTGCTTGGTGGTTCTGTAAAAAACCCCTGGATGGCATTTTGTATGCCATGACAGACATGCACTTTTTCTTGATACAAGAGGTCAATCAAGAAATTGGGGTCAGATGAAACATGGGATTAAGAAGAAAAATTCAACTGGCATTAGACAATCACCATCAAAAAACACATACATCTAACTAGACACTGGACAGGAGCTTATCATGCACCTGACTTGAGTTGGAGTCTAGAGAGTGAGATTTGTTGGGATGCACCCCACCAATGGATGTCCATCAAGGTCATCAATGTGTTTATTGATCATAATTCTTCCAGTTTATCCATATAATCATAAAAGCAACAAAAAATATGTTTCTGTTTTCCTCTAGAATTGTGGCTTAACATGCAGTCAGTTTGATCCAGTCACCAGCATTGGATTTGTTATGGCCTCAGTTTGGATTCTCAAGGGCCTGTACAATAGGGTTCAATTCTAAAGAAAAAAAAACATTTTTTTCTATGTTCTACACAAAAATCAGGAACAATTGGAGAGGTCTGGTGTTGCAATTCTTCACTTTGAGGTCAAAGACTGGGCAAGATCACTTTTGATGATATGAACTTTTAAGCCAGCTAACTTTTGGAAACATTGATTTTTCATCTCATATGGTACTGGCCCTAAGTCTGGTTTATCTTGGATACCAGAAGAAAATCAGTCCAGGGAATGGAGAGTGGGGATGAGCTCTCAAGTCACTGGAGGGTGCTGCAACTCAGACAATTATGTTCCATCATGAGCAATACATATTAAAGTGGTCGTTAGGGGCACTGAAGATTAAGCATAGAGAAAAGGCACAAAGCTTGGGGATTTTAAAACAATTTAACAAGGGGTGTGTTGGTTTTGTCATGATGCAACTCAAATACTGATAGGTGCAGGGACAACTGGAATTGTTGGCACAGGCGACAAATAATAGTGTCAAGTTGGTTCAAGAAACTGTTGGTCTGTGGTTGCCAGAAGGATTCTAGTTGTCCAGTGCTCAACTCCCTGAGGTTTACTTCCAGTCAAAATAAATATGTATGTTTGTAGGACTGATTAAAACTTATCTTCTGATTTTGTGTCTGTCACCACATCAACGGTGCCACAGATACGAGACATGTATTTGTATCGGATCATATCGTATTTATTTTGAGCCTGATACCGGTATCAGTATTTCTGTAACGTTTTTCATTTCCATTAACTATGGTTAGTTAATTAGCAAAAGAAATCAGTACATTATCTTACTTTTTCTTTAGTTTTATTAGTTGGTTGTTATTCAAATTCTTTATCTTACTTAAATTCATTATTACTAGTAGTTTTCTTCATTATTTATGATTCTGGTTATTTTTATATATATAGATTGTTGTTTCTTTGTTCGTTCTTCCCTTTCCTTTCCTCATCGCGAATTCTTTGTTTTATCATTATCATTGCATCTTGATCTTAGAAAATAAAGTCTTAAAAACAATCCTTCTTATAAAGTCCCTTTCAAGAGTTTATCTTTCCTTTGGAAATAAACTACCCCCTACTCTTTCATAATATAGACGGTTTATTCTCTTGAATAAACTTATAGTTAGAGATGGTCGAAGGTTATCCGTCGCGGATATCCGCTATCCGCTGGCGGATACCCGCCAGTGCCAACGGATACCCGCCAACGGGTGCGGATGGCCCCTTTTCCGCTAAAAGTTGGCGGGTATCCGGGTATCCCAAAGGATACCCGTGGCCGGAAGGGGAAATGGCCGGCTGGAAGGAGACCCTTCCAGCCGGCGAGGTACTTGTACGTCGTCGACTGATAGGACACTCGTTCAGGTCATGAGGTACAGGTACCTCGTC